GGATGTGGGTGTGAAGTGTACTCTGTCCAAGTTTGCAGATGAGACTAAATTGTGGGGTGAAGTGCACACTCCAGAGGGTAGGGAACGATTAAAGGCAGACCTGGACAAGTTAGAAAAGTGGGCATTACACAGTAGGGTGCAGTACAACAAGGACAAGTGCAGAGTGCTGCACCTAGGGTGCAAAAATATCCAGCACATCTACTGGCTGGGAAGTGGCCCTCTCAGCAGCATGGAAGTGGAAAGGGATCTGGGAGTCATAGTGGACTCCAAGATGAACGTGAGTTGTCAGTGTGGTGAAATCATCAGCAAAGCTTAACCGCACTTTATCATGCATCAGCAGATGCATGACAAATAGATCCAAGGAGATGATACTTCGCCTCTGTGTGGCATTGGAGTACTGCATACAGTTTTGGGCGCCGTACTTCAAGAAGGATGTTGATAGACTTGAAAGGATCCAGAGGAAGACCATTCGTATGGTTAGGGGCTTACAGGACTATGAGGAGAGACTGAGGGGTCTGGACCTCTTCAGCCTCTGCAAGAGAAAGCTGAGAGGTGATCTTGTGGCTGCCCACAAATTCATTAGGGGGAAGCAGCAAGGGATCAGAGAGGCTGTGTTCACCAGGGCGCCTCTTGGGCTAACAAGGAACAATGGTCACAAAGTGACAGAGAGCAGATTTAGGCTAGATATCAGGAAAAACTTCTTCACGGTAAGGGTGGCCAAAATTTGGAATGGGCTTCCAAGGGAGGTGGTGCTCTCCTGTACCTTGGGGGTCTTTAAGAGAAGGCTGGATAGGCATCTGGCTGGGGTCATCTGACCGCAGCACTCTTTCCTGCCTAGACAGGGGGTCGGACTCGATGACCTGTTGAGGTCCTTCCTGAGCCTAGCATCTGTGAATCTATGAAGATGATCACTGGGCCTCTGATTGTGTGATTTTTTTTTTCTGTGAGAGAAATCTGTATCCTAACTTTTAGAAATTCAGAGCCCGTAACTGCAACCTGAGTCATTAGGAACTGTCTTTGGAAAAGGTGAGGCGCTGTAAAAAATAAGTGGTCTGTCACACCAAGTGTTAGGTTTTTCAGTTTGGACACACCAATTAGTGGGTTTTTTTGTCCTTTTCTTTAAAGTTCAACTCTGTAATTCAGATAAAACTTCACAGGGTATTTTAAAGATGGATTCGTTATGATTTGTGAAGCATTCACTTGCTGAGAGGTTCAGCACCAGAGAAAAACCTCATGAAAAGTTGCACTGAATACTGTGCAGTGTTTGGAAGATATGCGGTAAATAAGACAGTGAACATGTATTAGATGAGGAGGATAAAAAGAAACACTGAGTAACCCATTCACTAAGCACAATCTATTTTGTATAGTCAATGAGGCAGAGGTCCTGTGGGAAAAATAGTGTGCTGTCAAGCAAGTAAACAATATACTATAATGTTGATTGTCTGAGCTGCCTGGGCAGGGTATAGAGTAACAGAGAATCAACTTATATAAAAAATATACTCTATACCGACCGGTTTTTTTTTCCTTGAATGTGCTTTGTTACAGAGGAGTTTTTGCATGATGTTATTCCCTTATGGAGAAGACGGAATACTAATGGAAAAATTAGGAATAAATAATTTGGCTAAAGACGCATCAACCCAAAACTATTAAAGCAAAATTCTGTTAAATTTCCATTTTCATGGTCTAGTACCATTCGTTTTAATCTTGCCCCCTAGATCAAGAGGGTCCAATTTCTGAGTGACCTGCTTTGGAGCCCATACTAGTGTAAGCCACAGGCCCCGGGACAACATGGATGCCTCTGATGCAACACTGTGTCACCCTCCTCCTACTTGTATGGCCTGACTTGGCTTCTGCTTCCCATACTTTCCTGCCCCCTGGGGTCGGGGTAGGAAGTGGCTGCCAGAGACGGGGGGGGGGGGGGGGGGGGCCCCGGGGCCCCGGGGTTGTTGGGGACCCCCGGGGGGGGGGGGGGGAGG